GAATGCCCTAGCTTTTACTAGATATAGGGTAGCCTGGTATATATAAGATGGTCACAACGTGACAAAAACAATGTGTGTAGACAGTGAGTAATTGATCTGCAGTCAGAGAGTATTGTTGAAGTTAACGTTTGTTTTAGCGCGATTGTTGAAATTAAGTGTATCGTAAAGTTATATTCGGAAAGAATAAACCAGTTTTATTAAGAAAGGACTTGTGTCGCTAAAGTTTCGTCGGAACGAAGTTACGGAAAATTAATTAACAAACGGAGACGTAACAGTACTATAGTAATATAAGTTTCTCGATGGCGAGTTATTATAAATTATCTGGTGAATACAATTCAACTTCCACTCCAAATAACGATTACAAATTACTTTATTTCCTATATAAACGTTTCTACGAATTTGAAAGCTTGTACAATATCTTAACATGACCGTAACTAACGTAAAACAAACCAACTTACTTATAAAATATAATCACGAATGCTAATACATTGACTGGTTCACTCTCTATCTTGAAATCACTCTTCACATTTCACATTTACCTCGTACTTATGATCTACTTTCTAATATACTAGAAAACGTTTGACATCACTCCCTGAGGCCCGGCATGGCCAGGTGGCTAAGGCGCTCGACTCGCAATCTGAGAGTCGCGGGTTCGAATCCCCGTTACACCAAACATGCTCGCCCTTTCAGCCGTGGGGGCGTTATAATGTGACGGTCAATCCCACTATTCGTTGGCAAGAGTATCCCAAGAGTTGGCGGTAGGTGGTGATGACTAGCTGCCTTCCTTGTAGTCTTACACTGCTAAATTAGGGACGGCTAGCGCAGATAGCCCTCGTGTAGCTTTGCGCGAAATTCAAACAAACAAACATCACTCCTTAGAACTTTCTATATATTCTGCATTATCCAGATGGATAATCTAGTCTAGTATTTTATCATATATTTACATTTTTATTTTCTTTATCGAACTTCGTGGTAAATGGATAACATGGGATCTTGATTCCTGCTGTCAATGGCCATCCTATCACTGGGGTGTGAGCTCTAGAGTAGGTGGTCAAGTAAATCAACTGGTAGCTCCAGCCTTGATGATCTTCTTGAAGTAGTTTCAACAGGAGCTTCGGGCTCCTCAGCAGGTTGAGTTTCCACTGGCAAGTTTTTTTCTGGAGTTACACATATGACCATTCTGTCATAAACATATTTCCAAAGACGATCACAATGAATGACTTTTGGCTTGAATTGGCTTCTGTAAACTGCATAATTAATTATTTTAAGAACAGTGTAAGGCCCCTCTCAGCACCTGCTTAACTTTGATGTTTGTTCTTTCTTACAGTGAGGATTGTACAGCAATTCCATATCACTTCAGTGGAATCCTGTTTTATTAACATTAACATC